TGGAGGTTCCAGAGTCTTCTTGGCTGGCAGACTGCCCTTTCTTTTCGTTGGGGGCGTGGCATGGGTTCTGTCGGACCCGCACGCTTGATTGGGGGGAAACTTCTACTTTTATGCAGGTTTACCTGGGGGGCGAGTTTGAGCACCATAATGTGTGGTTGTTCGCTCCTGTGCTTTCTCGGGATGTTGGCCTTTTCCAGCGTCACGTGCAGGTTCCTCAGCTTTCGGCTTCATTGGTTGCAGAAGAGTTGCGCACCCGAGGCATTTGGCTTTGGTCTTACATTTCTTTTCCCTTCTCGAGCTGTCTTCTGCCTGGCTTGAGGACGATGTGGGAGCGTTGAGTGAAGGGCCTTCGCCTGGGGTGCTGACTTCGACAGCGAGGGCGTCGGCTGCACTGTTGAAGCTCTTTGCGCCCATCCTGAAGGAAGTGGTATGTCTCTGTTCTTTGCTTCTCGCCTCGCTTGATGTCAGGCGGTGCTCGCCCTCTCTTTGGAATTCGCTTGGGCCCCGGCTCTTAGGTTTTCGTCTCCATTTTGTCCGTTGCTGTTTGCAGAGACTGCGGTCGCTCAGTTTCTGCACGCGGCTTCGTCTAGTTTTCGTCCTATGGCGGACTTGTTGATTCTCCGAGGCGGTCGTTATTGGCAGTTTCGGAGGGGTTGTGCCAGGGTTCCGGGTTCCGCTGGTTGAGGTGGGCCATTGGTGCCAGTTTCTGACCCATTGTTCCCTTCGGGGCTAGCATCGTCTGGTCGGCGCGGTGATCGCCCTGTTCGATGTTTGGGTTCTCGTAAGGGGCGTCGGCCCTTTCGCAGTTCGCCCCGATGGAGGGGAGGTTTGCTCTGTTTGCCCACGCTTGGTCCCACGATTTGTGGGCCTTTTCGATCGTGTCATCCGGCCTGCGGTGGTGTTGGGCGACTTGTCCTCCTTTGGGGGTTCGAGACTAACAGGGCAGGTTTCTTCTCCTGCTCCTGCAGTCGTCTTGGAGTGGGTGCACTTGGGCGTGGTCAAAATGACTCCGTCCCTCAGGTGGGTTTCCCGTCTGTTTCCAGTGCTGAAACGGGACTGTGCGGATCTGAGGTACATTCTGGACTTGTCCCATCTGAACCCCTGGATTCCTTGCCCCTTCTTTTGGATGACTACTCTGTCTCCTAGCCGGCTTCTGTTGGAGCCGGGTGCCTGGATGGTGTCCTGGACCTCAAGGATGCCTATTGGCACATTCCTATTCAGCTGGGGTTCAAGGACTGGTTAGGTTTTGAGGTGGGGCTTCACGCTTACCGTTTTCGATGCCTACCTTTTGGCTTGAATCTGTCACCTCGCGTTTTCACGCGTCTGACCCGGGTTGTGGTGACTCGTCTGTGTCTTCTAGGGATTCGGGTTTTGGCCTACCTCGACGACTGGCTGGTGTGGGCTCCCAGTCGGTCAGCTTGTCTGCTCGCCAGGGATATGGTTCTTTCCCAGCTCGCCAGGTTCGGGTTCCTAGTGAACTGGAGGAAGTCCCATCTGGTTCCGTCCCAGGTTCGGACCTGGCTGGGTCTTGTTTGGGATTCTTGGACTGCTTCCTTGTCTCTCCCTCCAGAGGTGTTGCTGCGGCTGCAAGGCTACCATCGGCTGTTTCTGAGGGGGTCGCGGGTCACTCGGTGGTTGCTCGAGCGGTTGTGCGGGAGTCTGAACTTCGCCGTGCTAGTCTACTCGCCTGGTTGGGTTTGGCTTCAGCGTCTGTTTTGGTTCCTTCTGGGACGTCCCTTCCGTCTCTCTCGCGATCGTTGGGTTCGACTTCCAGGGGCCTTGTGTCGATTGCTGCGTCACCAGCTTCCTCTTTGGGGTGTTCGGGGTTCGGTGCCTTGGCGCCTTCCCAAGCCCTCGCTTGATGTGTTCACGGACGCGTCGTCTCTTGGTTGGGGCTTTGTGACCAGTGCTCACCAGGCAGGCCAAGGACGGTGGGGTCCGTCCTTCCGTCGGGCTCACAGCATGGTTCGGGAGTTCGCGGCAGTCTGGTTCGCACTTCGGAGGGTTTGGGTCACTTGGGGATCGACCATTCGCCTCCATTCGGACTGTTCTTTAGTGGTTCATTGCCTGAACCGCGAGGGTTCTCTTCGGTCCTTGGCTCTTTGGGGTTGGTCCCTTCGAGTGGTTTGTTTGCTGGATTCTCGGGGTTTGGCTCTCTGTGTGGTTCATGTCCGGGAGTGTCCAACGTTCTGACGGACGGTCTGTCTTGCTTCCATCCCCTGTACACGGAGTGGACGGTCGACGACGACTCGTTTAGTTGGATCTGCCAGACGAACGGTCTCCCAGATGTGGATCTCTTCGCGTCGGCCTGGTCTCGGCGTCTCCCAATCTATGTGATGCCCTTCCCCGACTGAGAGGCGTTCACTGTGGATGCCTTTTGGCAGGACTGGTCGAGGTGGGGTTACCTGTACCTCTTCCTCCCGGTCCAGCTGTTGCTTCAGGTTCTGGTTCAGTTGGAGACATTCCCAGGGAGAGTAGTCCTTGTGGCCCCTTGGTGGCCGGCCCAGCCTTGGTTTTCAGTGCTATTGGCTCGGTGCTCGAACCCGGGACGTTTCCCGCGGCTCCGCCTCTTTCAGCAGGTCGATCCGATCCGGTATGGGGCTGGTTCGACCTTCTCCTCTGCTCTTCGCGACTGGTCTTTTTGGCACGGGTGTATCATTATTTCTATGGTGATCAGGTGGCTTCGTTGATGGTGTTCCACCTGAGAGCTTCGTCTTGGCAACAGTATGTTTCGCCATTTTCTGGCTCTTCGTAGGTTGTCTTTTCTTTCGGATCGGGTTGTCTTGTCCTTTCTTTCTTGGCTTTTTCAGGACCGTCATTTGATGTCTAATACTGGCGCCTCGTATCGTGCGGCGCTAGCAGAGCCGCTCAAGCTAGCGTTCGGGGTGGACGTCATTTCCGCCCCGTTCTGTAAGCTTTCTCGTGCTATGTTTCACCTCCGGCCAGCTCATGTGCCTCCTGAGCTGTCTTGGTCCTTGGACAGGGTGCTCTCCTATCTTTCCTCTCCTCGGTTTGTGATGATCCCTTCGGTTCCAGATTGTTTTTCCAAGGCTTTGTTTTTGTTGGCATTGGCCTCTGGGGGCTGGGTAGGGGAGCTTCATGCTCTCCTCCGGTGCAGGGGTTTCTGCTCTTTTGGTCCTGGGGTAGGTTTGTCCGTTTGCAGCCTTCTCCATCTTTTCTGGCGAAGAACGAGACGGCTGCTTTCCGGAGGAGTCCGTGGGTCATTGATGCTTGGTTGGTTCGGCCGGGGGTGCATCATGTGTTGTGTCCGGTTGCAGCTCTTCGCCGTTACCTGCGCACTTCAGCTGAGGTGGCTGGGGATGCGCTTTGGGTTGATCCGGTTTCCCTCGTTCCTTGTTCCAGGGCTCGGGTCTCCCAGGTTGTCCGCAGGGTTATTAAGTCTAGCCAGCCTGCAGTCTATCCTCGCGCCCATGACGTTCGGAAGTTTGTAGCGTTGGCTGCCGTGTTTGGTACCATGTCTTGGGCTCATATTCAGGCGCATGGATTTTGGAAGTTGAGCAGGGTTCTGGCCGTCCGTTATTTGGTGAACGTCCCTGCTCCTTGGCGTTCTTGTGTTGCTTTGGGTTGCAGGTTGCAGCCAGTTGTCTCGACTTCGTGTTGAGGAGTTTGTGGCCGCCGCCTCCTGAGTAAGTCCCTATTTTCCTACTCTTTGGGTATGTAGCTCCAGGGAGCCGTAGGGGGCTCCCCACAGAAAACCAGCATTGAATGTAATGAAATGCCATTTTCTGGGTGAGCCCCAGAGGCTCCCTGGCTACCCTCCCTCCCATCCGGTCTGCCGGGTTTTTTTTCGCATTGGTTGAAGCCTAGTTTCCGAACTGAAGGCAGCTGGCATGGTGAGGTCCGGGGCCCCCCACCTCCTCCTCCCGGGGAGGGGAGGGCTGCTCGGATGACCGGCGCAGCAGTAAATTGATTGCTTGATTGTTTCCTTGGGATTGTAGGGAATTTCTACCTCTCTGTTCGGTTTTTTGTTGTAGTTTTTTACCATGTGGGGTTTGTTTTGTTATGCCTACCTTTCTGGGTGCCTGATCCCGGTCGATGGCAGATAAGGAAAACCCCCAACCACAATGGGGTTTTCCAAGGCCATTGCTCCCTGAAACCTCTCTGAAGGGGTGAGGTTCTGGCACTGGTCCCTGGTAGGTCTGAACTCCATAGCTAATGTCCCAGTCCAACATAACATACATTAGCCCGATAAGCTCCAGGGAGCCTCCGGGGCTCACCCAGAAAATGGCGTTTCATTACATTCAACGCTGTTTTTTTTTTTGAAAACCTGGCTGCTTCTATATAGGTGCCATTGTGAGTAAGCTCTGGGGGGCTACTTGTGGGCCACTCCCAGAAATCAAATATTTGAAGGTAATCAAATATCTTTTGTGGTGGGCCTCAGTAGCTCCCTGTTCCTGCTCTGTTTTCCAATGGGTTTGAGGCTTTGTAAAGGCAGTTCGAGTGAGGAGGGATGGGGAAGGCTGGCTGAAACTTCAAGTGACCCAAGCAGTCATCTAGTGGCAATTCGGCTAATCATGGTCATGGTATTTACCCCATGGCAATGATTGCTCGTTTTATTGTCATTAGGTTAATTCTGGTGGATTTTCCCTTTTTTTTGTGGTTGAGTGATCTGGTACTTCCCTAACCTCATAGTGTAGGCTATGGCTTATTGGTACCAAAGCTAAGCTCAGGAAGCTACTGGGGACCTGTCCAAAAAAAGGGTGTTTCATTACATCCAACATTTAATTTCTTCACATTCAGATTTCTGTGTGTAGATCCCAAAAGGGCTATACAGTATATTTGTTGTTTGTATTTGAAATGAGCTCATTAAAAATATATTATATTGCATTGAGCATTTTACATCACCATTGTTGCTTTTATGTTTTGTTATACTGCATGTTCTTGAACAGCTTTGCTGCTTCCCTTTGTACAAGACTGCCCTGTCAACAGCTCTGCTACTATAGTTCTTGTGAGAGATTAACATCATATCTACTTAACAGCCATGCTACTGCAACATATGCGAGAAATTGATAATGGTTAGTGATGGTGCTTTCTGTGACTCGTGTGGAGTATGTGCCAATTCTCCAGAGTGTATTGTTGCTGCTGACAAGACATTGCCGTGCAAACTCATCGCCACCAAGGCCCTTGTACACAAGCATCACTGGATCAGAGGTGATGTGCATGTTGGCCTCTTTTGCCCCATAAAATTATTTATTAAATTTTCAGCTGACAGCTTTCCATCACTTAGTTTATATAGTAATGTTCAAATTCTCATTTTTCTGGGGAAAGCCCTGTCGGCTCCTCGGAGCTATCCAGGCTGATATGGATATATTAGATTTCTGGCATCAGTCAATATGCATGTAGTTCTAGGCCAATCGGGGACCACAAGCCAGAACCTGGCCCCCCCTCAGAGAGGCACGAGGAGCAATGGCCTATAGAAACCCCTGTGTGGTTGGGAGCATTCTATGTCTGTTCTATGTCTGCCATCGACCGGGTCAGACACCCAGAAAGGTAAGTGCCCCAAAACAAACCCCTATTCTGGTGAAAACATTGCTACAAAGAGCCAAACGAGTAGACAGAACTCCCCAAATGAAAACAAGTAAAATAGCATGACATTACCACGTTGCCACGCTGCTGTCTGTGCAACCGCCCCCCCCCCCTGCCCGCCCCGGGAGGTGGAAGGGGGAGCCCCTGATCTTCCCGCTGGCTACCCACCCTTCAGTTCTTGGCTGATGTGTTACTGGCAAGATCATGTGCCTCTGGCTCCAACCATTGTTTCAGTTCTGTGTCTTGTGGTGTGGTGTTGTCTCTATGGTCAGTGTGCGAGCCAGGAGTAATTTCTTCAGTACTGTACTTGGGCAGCATGCACTTAGGGTTTACTTCCCTAGGTGCTCTGTAAGTACTTCCCTTGGGGCTTGAGGCCACCTTCCACGAGTCACCTTGGGATATACCTTCACTGTGTCTAATGCTGCTCGGTGATTGACTGCTCTTGGAGTCAGCTGAGGTTTCTGTGTTTCCCTGTTTGTCTCTAGGTAGGGGGTAGTTTTCATCACTGGTAGGGGCGCAGGGTACTGTGCAGCTAGTTATCACCTCACATAGCGGCCAGCTCTGTTCCGCCTGGGTACGTTCTCCTCTTGTGGGGTTTTTCTTTTTCTTTTTGACTAGTTGCCTGGTGGGGGGTGTCTGCCACTTGGTTGGTCATAGCCTATTGTTACTCGGTGGTCCTCCGCTAGGCCCCCGCGAGTGTACACATCCTGGGGGTTCAGCTTTAGCAGATTGCTTGGTAGTTTAGGGGCCGGTTAGCAGTACTCTGCCTTGGCTTCCCCTTGTGGAATATCATGACTAGGGGCCCTAAGGAACCCCCGAGGGACTTTGTGGTCTAGCGGATGCGACCCCTGGGTCCCCTTTCGCTTTGTGCGAGTTTGAAGGTTGCTCTGTCTCCTTGTCTCAGGGTGACACTCACCGGGTGTGCCTCCATCATGCTGCCTGTTGGGTCGGTGACACATTTGACCCGGAGTCTTGCGAGTTTTGTTGCTTGTTCGTACTTCAGTTCACCCAGACCGATGTTCTTGATATGCGGGTGCCAGCATCTTCAGCATTGCATGCTAGATTTAGGCTGCAGCTCGCTAGGTTGGTTGCTACCCCAGATGCCCTGAGACTGCCCCGTTTTGGTTATGGGGGACCCGGACTTGGGGGTGTTTGTCGCCTTGACTTTAGTTCCGTCTGCACCCTCTTCTGTTGTGTGTCCTGGTCCTTCCCTCTTGCTTCTGGTTTCTAAGTGTCTAAGGACTTCGGATTCGGGGCAGTGTTAATTGGTGATGGGACTTGGGCAGTTTCGGGGTGGGGGGGGTCCTCTTCCCCAAAAGGGAAGCCTGGTCCTCAGGCCGGAGCTTCTGGGTCTGACCAATGGACCCCCTTTGTTTCTGCTTTTTTTGGCTGCTCCTGCCTTTTCTTTAGAGGCGAGGTGTTTGGAGGAAGACTCGGCCCTGAGTCCTCGTGAGGAGGTTCACGAAGTGCGGGAGGGGTTGACTTTGAGGGCCTTGGGCCTCGTTGAACCCCGCTTGGGTTTTTGTACCCTCGAAGTGGGGCTTGATGTTACAAGGAGTGGGGTTCTCTTATTCTCCTCCTCTCCTCGTACAAATTGGGATTGGCGTCTACCCCTTCCTGGGTTCGGTTTTCGTGATCCCATGGATTCTTCGGTTTCGTCTTCCGGAGGTTATCGACCTCCTGCAGCCCGCCCTATGTGGTGTGGGAGGCCATTGTGGTTCACCTCCTGCGCGACCTGGATTACGCCTTCATAATGGATACAAATTTCTTTGTGTATGGATCATCTTGTCCTTACTGGGTTCATTATGAGGCTCTGGAGTCTTCCTGGTTGGCAGACAGCTCTTATCTTCTCATTGGAGACTTGGCATGCGTTCTGTTGGTTTCACACGCTTGAGTGGTGGGAAGCTTATACAGTGTTGCAGGTTTTCTTGGGGAGCGATTTTGAGCATCTCATTGTGTGCATGTTCGCCTCTGCCTTTCCGTGGGATGTTGGTGTGGTACAGCTTCAGATGCAGGTTCCTTCCTTTTCAGCTGCAATGATTGCTGAGGACTTGCACGTGCGAGGCCTGTTGGCTTTGGCCTTGCATTTCTTTTCCCTGCTCGAGCTGTCCTTGGACTGGTTTGAGGAGGACATGGAGGCGCTTGGGGACCGGCTCTGGGTCTGGTGTGTTGCCCTCGGCTGTGTGTGCGTTGTCTGGGTTGTTGAAGCTGTTCGTGCTTATTCCGAGGGATGCTGTTTCGCTGCTTTGGCTTTCCATTTCGCATGTCGGCAGGTGAAACATGCTCGCGTCTTCTTTGGAATTTGCTTGAGCCCTGGCTCTTAGGTTGTCTTCACCCTTTTGTCCACTGCTGTTTGCAGAGTCTGTGGTTGTGCAGTATCTGCAGGCAGCTTCGTCTAGTTGTCGTCCTATGTCAGACTTGTTGACGGGTCGTGCCAGGGCTTGGGATTCGTCCCGTTGTGGTAGGCCTGTGATGCCAGATTTGGTGCTGGCACAGTCTGCGGAACTGTCTGTTCTCATCAGCGCGGTGATAGATCTGTGTGCCACCCAAGTTCTCGTCAGCACTGTGATAGATCTATGTGAGGCATAAATACTCGTAAGAAGCGTCGGCCCTTTCGCAGTTCGTCCCATTGATGGAGCGATGGGGGGGGGGGGGGGGTAGGCTCGCCCTGTTTGCTCACGCCTGGACCCACGATTTATGGGCCTTTCGGGTTGTTTCGTGTGACTTGCGGTAGTGTTGGGTGGCCCCTCCTACTTCGGGGGAATTGGGGTTGGCTAGGCAGGCCTTTTTTCCTGCACTCCCCATCAGGTCGTCTTGGAGTGGGTTCGCTTGGGCGTGGTTGAAATGTCGTCGTCACTCAGGTGGGTTTCCGGTCTGTTTCCGTTTCCGAAACGGGACTGCGTGGGCCTCAGGTTCATTCTGGACTTGTCCCGTCTGACCCAGTGGGTTTATTGCCCCTCCTTTCGGATGACTACACTATTGCAGGTCCGACTTCTGTTGGAGCCGAGCACTTGGATGGTGTCTCTAGGCATGTCCAGGCTCCTCCTGGGTTCAGGGACTGGCTTGGTTTTGTGGTGGGGTGTTAGGGGTTACCACTTTTGTTGCCCTCCTTTCGGCTTGAATCTGGTGTCTCGCATTTTCACACACCTTACCCAGATCGTGATGGCCCCTCTGCATCTTTTCGATGTTTGGGTTCTGGCCTTCCTCAACGACTGGCTGGTATAGGCTCCCAGCCAATGCATGTGTCTGCTCGCCAGGGATTTTGTTTTTTCCCAGCTCGCTGGATTTGGGTTCTTCGTGAACTGGCGGAAGTCCCATCTGTTTCCCTCTCAGGTTCGGTCTTGGCTGGGTCTGGTTTGGGACTCTCGCACTGCTTCCTTGTCTCTGCTTCCGGCGGCTCTGCTTCGTCTGCATTGCCACCTCCATCTGTTTCTGAGGGGCTCCCGGGTAATGCGGCGGTTGCTCGAGGGTTTGTGCGGGAGCTCAAACTTTGCCGTGATGGTCTACCCGCCGGGTCGGGTGTGGCTTTGTCGGCTGTTCTGGTTCCTTCGGGGACGTCCCTTCCACCTCTCGCGACCACTAGGTTCGGTCTCCTGGGGCCTTGCGTCGGCTGCTGCATCGCCGGCTTCCTCTTCGAGTTTTTCGGGGTTCAATGCCTTGGTGCCTACCCGAGTCTCTCACTCGATGTGTTCACAAATGCGTAGTCTCTTGGCTGGGGCTTTTTGACCAGTGCTCACCAGGCCAGCCAGGGGCAGTGGGTTCCATCCCTCTGTCGGGCTCACGGCATGGTGCGGGAGTTCGCGGCTGTGTGGATGTCGCTTTAGAGGATTCGGGTCTCTCGTGGATCAACAGTCCGGCTCCATTCGAACTGTTTCCCCCTGGTTCATTGGCTGAACCACGAGGGTTTGCTGCGTCCTTGGCTCTTTGGGGCTGGTCACTACAGGTGACTCCTCTGCTGAGTTCTCGGGGTTCAGGTCTCCTGGGGGTTTCCAATGTCCTGGCGGACGTCCTGGCCAGTTCATTTCCCTGTTCATGGAATGGACGGTCGACATCGACTCGTTCCGTTGGCTCTGCCTGACGTTCGGGCCTCCGGAAGTGGATCTCTTTGCGTCGGCGTGGTCGAGGCGTCTCCCAGTATACGTGGCTCCCTTCTCCGTCTGCGAGGCCGTCGGGGTCAATGCCTTCAGGCAGGACTGGGCGAGGTGGGGGTTTCTGTACCCCTTTCCCCCCTGGTTCAGCTGTTGCTCCAAGTTCTGGCTCACTTGGAGACTTAACAGAGGAGAGTAGTCATCTTGGCCCCTTGGTGGCCAGCCCAGCCTTGGTTTCAGGTGCTGCTTGCTCGGTGTCTGAACCCAAGGGTCTTCCCGCAGCTCCGCCTCTTTCAGGAGATCGGTCCTGCCCGGTACGAGGCTGGTTCGCTCTTCTCCTCGAGTCTTCGCACCTGGTCTTTCCAACTCGAGTCTCTCACCATTTGTATGGGGCACAGGTAGCTTTGTTGTTGGGCTTCCATCTGCGTGCCTCATCTCAGTGACAGTTTGAGGTCTCTTGACGGTCCTTCCGGTTTTTCCTATTACTGTGTAAGTGTCCTTCAGTCTCTGATAGGGTGGTTTTGCACTTCCTGTTGTGGTTGTTTCAGGACCGTCATCTTATGCCAAATACTATTGCCTCCTTTCGTGCGGCACTGGCAGAGCCGCTCCAGCTTGCATTCAGTATTGATCTTATGTCTGCTCCGTTCTGCATTGTTTCATCTCCAGCCTTCTCATGCATCACCTGAGCCATCCTGATCCTTGGACCTGGTGCTCTCTTTCTCTTTCCTGTCTTCTCCTCAGTTTGTGGTGGTCTTCGGTTCAGGATTGTTTTTCCAAGGCTCTTTTTCCTGTTGGCATTGGCCTCTTGGGGGTCAGGTTGGGGAGCTTCATGCTCTCCTCCAGCGCAGGGGTTTCTGCTCTTTTGGTCCTGGTGATAGGTTTCTTCAGTTGCAGCGGTCTCCTTTTCTGGCAAAGAATGAGACTGCTGCTTTCTGGAAGGGTCCTTGGGTTGTTGATGCTTGGTTGGTCAGGACGGGGGGTGCATCATGTGTTGTGTTCGGTTGTGGCTCTCCGCCGTTATATGGGTGCCACGGCTTCAGTGGCCGGGGATGCACCTTAGGTTGATCCGGTTTCCCTTCTTCCCTGTTCCGGGCTCGGGTCTCCCAGGTCGTCTGCAGGATTATTAAGGCTAGCTAACCTGCAGTCTATCCTCGTGCCAACAATGTGCGTAAGTTTTCTGATTTGGCTGCCGTCTTCTGCAACATGTCTTGGGTTGACATTCGGGCATGGGGTTTTTGGAGGTCAAACAGGATCCTGGCCACTCGCTACCTTGTCAATGTCCCTGGTCCTCGTAGGGCCCGTGTTCCACTGGGTCGGTGGTTGCAGTCAGTTGTCTCGGCTTCGCGTTGAGGAGTGAGGACTGCTCGCCGTCTGGGTAAGTCCCTGTTTTTCCTTGCCTTTGGGTAGTTAGCTCTGGGATGCCGACGGAGCTCTAGCCAGAAAACCAGCGGTAAATGTAATGAAACTCCATTTTCTGGACAAGTCCCGGAGGCTCCCCGGCATCCCTCCCTCCTTCCCTCCCGGTTGGCAGTGTTTTTGCGTATTTTGACATCCAGCCTAAGAACTGAAGGGTGGATTGCTGGCGTGGGGGTCTTAGGCTTCCCCCTTCCCCCTCCCAGGGAGGAGGGGGAAGGGGGGAGTTTTGGTAGTTTTATGGTGGGAGATCTTTTGATATTTTATGGGCTTAGGTAGCATTTTTCAACCAGGCTGTATTCTGTTTTGATTTGCCTTCCTTTCTGGGTGCTTCCCTGGTCGATGACAAGAGGATAAACTTTAAATGTAGTATCCATGAGCCATTGCTCCGTGCACCTCAATAAAGGGGCCAAGTTCTGGCTCTGGTCCCCCATTAGGCATACAAGACCTCTGGGAATAATGACTCCAAGTACAATAGTGTGTCACTTAATCGGTAAGCTAGCTTCAGGGAGCCTCTGGGGTTCATCCAGAAACTGGTGTTTTATTACGTTCAACACTGGTTTTTAACAGACAATACACCACAGCAGATCTTTGTAAACAGATTTTTAGCAGAACTCTGGTTAATGATGAATATTTTGCATCGGTATCATGAAAAATACTATAGATTTTTTTGTTTTTATGATGATTTTGTCATTGATTTGTCATCAGGTAATCTTCCGCTTAATGCACATTGTATGGTGTGTGAAAGAGACTGTGGAACTGAACCCAAGCTGAATGACTGGTGGTGTTGCTGGTGTCACCTGTCGGCCCACGATGCTTGTGTTCAGAGTATGGCAGAGGTAAACAGTGTTTCTACAATAAATATATTTTTGTCTGGAATAAAATCAGGGTAATGTTAGGAAGAAACAGACAGATACATAGTAAATAACACATCTTGGCAGGTATTGGTAAACAAAAAAAGTGCATGCTGGATACCCTGGATGGTAAATAGTTAAATGGGTAGAGCTGTTCATTATTTGTAGTAACATGAATTTTGTGTACATATGTATTGCATATAGTCTTAGATTCTTTATGGAAGATTAGTGTGAAATACACATTAATAAAATATAAAAAAATTCATAAAAGAATCATGCTGTAGTGTTTTCGAAACCCCTTCTACGAATTGGTTCATCAGACAGATTATTCAATGACTCCCAGAGCTACCCACCTGGTGGGTCCCCTCGGTGGCTTACTAAGCTACCCACCTGGTGGGTCCCCTCGGTGGCTTACTGAGCTACCCACCTGGTGGGTCCCCTCGGTGGCTTCCTGAGCTACCCACCTGGTGGGTTCCCTCTGTGGCTTACTGAGCTACCCACCTGGTGGGTCCCCTCTGTGGCTTACTGAGCTACCCACCTGGTGGGTCCCCTCGGTGGCTTACTGAGCTACCCACCTGGTGGGTCCCCTCGGTGGCCTACTGAGCTACCCACCTGGTGGGTCCCCTCGGTGGCTTACTAAGCTACCCACCTGGTGGGTCCCCTCGGTGGCTTACTGAGCTACCCACATGGTGGGTCTCCTCAGTGGCTTACTGAGCTACCCACCTGGTGGGTCCCCTCGGTGGCTTACTGAGCTACCCACCTGGTGGGTCCCCTCGGTGGCTTACTGAGCTACCCCCACCTGGTGGGTCTACTCGGTGGCTTACTGAGCTACCCACCTAGTGGGTCTCCTCGGTGGCTTACTGAGCTACCCACCTGGTGGGTCCCCTCAGTGGCTTACTGAGCTACCCACCTGGTGGGTCCCCTCGGTGGCTTACTGAGCTACCCACCTGGTGGGTCCCCTCGGTGGCTTACTGAGCTACCCACCTGGTGGGTCCCCTCGGTGGCTTACTGAGCTACCCACCTGGTGGGTCTCCTCGGTGACTTACTGAGCTACCCACCTGGTGGGTCTCCTTGGTGGCTTACTGAGCTACCCACCTGGTGGGTCCCCTCGGTGGCTTACTGAGCTACCCACCTGGTGGGTCTCCTCGGTGACTTACTGAGCTACCCACCTGGTGGGTCTCCTTGGTGGCTTACTGAGCTACCCACCTGTTGGGTCCCCTCGGTGGCTTACTGAGCTACCCACCTGGTGGGTCTCCTCAGTGGCTTACTGAGCTACCCACCTGGTGGGTCTCCTCGGTGGCTTACTGAGCTACCCCCACCTGGTGGGTCTCCTTGGTGGCTTACTGAGCTACCCACCTGGTGGGTCTCCTTGGTGGCTTACTGAGCTACCCACCTGGTGGGTCCCCTTGGTGGCTTACTGAGCTACCCACCTGGTGGGTCCCCTCGGTGGCTTACTAAGCTACCCACCTGGTGGGTCCCCTCGGTGGCTTACTGAGCTACCCACATGGTGGGTCTCCTCAGTGGCTTACTGAGCTACCCACCTGGTGGGTCCCCTCGGTGGCTTACTGAGCTACCCACCTGGTGGGTCCCCTCGGTGGCTTACTGAGCTACCCACCTGGTGGGTCTCCTTGGTGGCTTACTGAGCTACCCACCTGGTGGGTCTCCTCGGTGGCTTACTGAGCTACCCACCTGGTGGGTCCCCTCGGTGGCTTACTGAGCTACCCACCTGGTGGGTCTCCTCGGTGGCTTACTGAGCTACCCACCTGGTGGGTCTCCTCGGTGGCTTACTGAGCTACCCACCTGGTGGGTCTCCTCGGTGGCTTACTGAGCTACCCACCTAGTGGGTCTCCTCGGTGGCTTACTGAGCTACCCACCTGGTGGGTCTCCTCGGTGGCTTACTGAGCTACCCACCTGGTGGGTCTCCTCGGTGGCTTACTGAGCTACCCACCTGGTGGGTCTCCTTGGTGGCTTACTGAGCTACCCACCTGGTGGGTCCCCTCGGTGGCTTACTGAGCTACCCACCTGGTGGGTCTCCTCGGTGGCTTACTGAGCTACCCACCTGGTGGGTCTCCTCGGTGGCTTACTGAGCTACCCACCTGCTGGGTCCCCTCGGTGGCTTACTGAGCTACCCACCTGGTGGGTCCCCTCGGTGGCTTACTGAGCTACCCACCTGGTGGGTCCCCTCGGTGGCTTACTGAGCTACCCACCTGGTGGGTCCCCTCGGTGGCTTACTGAGCTACCCACCTGGTAATCACTCTTGGTGATTACCCAACCTACCCATCTTGCACTTGCCTAATTGTGCTTTTTGGGGTTGAGGTTGGACTTTCTGATTTTGCCTCTCAACTCTCACTCAGTTGGTTTACAGGTTCCTGAACCTATTGGGCTATCTTATCTACATTTGAAACTGTGTATGGAGTCCTCGTCTACCACATCACTTCCTAATGCATTCATTTATTAACTACTCTGACATTGAAATGTTCTAATGACTGTGTGGCTCATATGGGTACTCAGTTTTCACCTGTCCTTCCTTATGCAAGTACCACCTGTGTTAAATAATCTGTCTTTAGCTACCCTGTTAACCCTTGTGTTGCTAAGGGCAATTTACCGTTTGTCACCCACAGGTGTGTAACAATTTTTTTTTCTTCTTAACCTGTTAGTTTGTGTTCCCTGATCACGAGAAAATAATAAAAAAATCGTAAGTGGCATATTTTGGCCGCAATAGGTCGGGGAAGTCTGGCAAAAAATTGGTGCTGACTCAGTAAGCGTCGGGGGAGTTCTGCTTCGCCCCAGCTGTCAAGCAGGGGGTTGCCACAAAGATATAATTACCTAATTATTTCAATGTCTCTGATTGATTTTTTCTTCGTTTTTTTTGGTCTAATATTATTCAGTAGTGTGTAATGTGATATATTTATATACCTGTAATAAAATGTGTGAATCGTAGCTGATTCAATTATTATGTTCATAAAAAAGTGAACAAATACTTTGTCGGTTATTACACTATATACACAGGTTACATGTAAGTATCTACACTTATGTTCCCCATAACGAACCACTAATCTTGTATGGTGATGGCAGACAGTAACAGGTGGCCACACACAACTCATGCTCCCTCCCTCCCTCCCTCCCATTGTCACTGGTTCAAGGCCAGATGCACTAACATTCCTCCTCCAAGTATACTGTTGTGGTGTTATTACCCTATATACACACATTATATATAAGTATCTACATGTTTTGTTCACCATAACTGTTCAACTAAGCTGGTATAGTGCCCAAAGAGCATAGTAGCCACCCTTACCCAGCATGACAAGTCATGCAGATGTTGCCACCTCCCTCACCAAAATGACTTCTCTCAACACTCTTTTTACTGTCATTACACTATATATACACGTTATATATAAGTATCTACATTTGTGTTCACCATAAGGAATTACTAAGTTGGTATGCTGAGTCAAACAGCTGCAAGGAGTGACCACCACTCACCACCATCCATCCATTCAGTCCTCTCCACCATCCATCCAGTCCCCTCACCATCAATCCACCCAGTCCCCCTCCACCATCCAACCATCTAGTCCTCTCCACCATCCATCCATCCAGTCCCCCTCCACTATCCATCCATCCACTCCCCCTCCACCATCCATCCAATCCCTCTCCAACATCCATCCATCCAGTCCCCCTCCACCATCCATCTATCCATCCAGTCCCCTTCCATCATCCATCCAATCCCTCTCCACCATCCATCCATCCATCCAGTCCTCTCACCATCCATCCACCCAGTCCCCTCACCATCCATCCACCCAGTTTCCTCACCATCCATCCAATCCCTCTCCACCATCCATCCATCCACCCAGTCCCCTCACCATCCATCCATCCACTCCCCTAACCATCTATCCATTCAGTCCCATCACCATCCATCCATTGAGTCCCCTCACCATCCATCCATCCAGTCCCCTCACCATCCATCCATCCAGTCCTCTCACCATCCATCCATCCACCCAGTCCCCTCACCATCCATCCATCCACCCAGTCCCCTCACCATCCATCCATCCAGTCCTCTCACCATCCATCCATCTATCCAGTCCCCTCACCATCCATCCATCCATCCATCCAGTCCCCTCACCATCCATCATGTTGTATTCCCAAATACAATATTCAAACGGGCAAACAACAAGTACCGAGTCAAATTTTTCGGAGAAATTGACCACAAGTACCGAAAATTACGAGAATTGTGACCTACGAGAACTGAGGTTCCACTGTATATGTAGACTAGAAGTGGTACCCGGCAATGCTTGGGATCATTTTTTGCTCTCCCTACCCCTTATTCCCCCCTCTTTCCCTGTCTTCTCTGCCCCCTCTTTCCCCCTCTTCTCTGCCCCCTCTTTCCCCTCTTCTCTGTCTCTTCTCTGCCTTTTCTTTGCCTCCTCTTTCCCCTCTTCTCTTCCCCCTCTTTCTCCCTCTTTCCCCTCTTTCTCCCTCTTTCCCCATTCTCCCTTTTTTCCCTCCCTTCTTCTCTGCCCCCTCTTTCCCCATTCTCCCTTTGTTTCCTCCCCTCTTGCCCCCTCTTCCTCATTCCCTTTCTCCCTTTCTCCCTGCACCCTTTCCTCTGCCGTCTTTGTTCCCTTCTTCCTCCCCCTTTCCCTCTTTGGCCTCCAACCTCGAACAGAGAGATTTACATTTAGTTTTGAATTCACGTTCATCACTTTCGGGTAAAGAAATCTAGGGACAGGCTAGTCACATTTCACCAATTTTTTGGAAGGAGAGCTTTATTGGGGTAATGGACTTTACCTCCTCTTAATAAGACCAATAGGACTGACCTCAACTAGCCGCCTATGTCCATTCCTTGCCCGAGACCATTTACCCTGCAAAGTTGAGTGAGGTTAGCTTTGAGCATTTGGCTTCCAACTTTGGACAGACGAACAAACAAACAATTTACTCTTATAGATGGTTGGTGGGAGGGTATTGGGTAAATAATGAGAGGTAGGAGGGTA